GGCCAACAGCCATTATCATCTGTATACATGTCGGTATAGGGACACACACGCATGCACGTGCTTCTATTTGAATGTAAAAAAGTAAAGCTTCCATGTCCATCCATAAAAGCCCGCCGGGGCAAGTTCATTGGAAAACCCAGCAGCCTTGGAAGAAGTAATGAGCACACACATAAAGACCCAAACACTCACAAAATGAGTTAAGTATCATCCCAATGTTTACACCGAGGCATGTGCACTCTTTCAGTATTGCTTTGGACAAAAATACATTAGGCTTTATAGGATGCAAGAGTCCTAAAAGGCTTTAAAAGCTGGGTTGCCACTAAACAGCCAAACAGACAAAACCTCCAAGAACATAAGTAGCAGTAACACACTCTCCAGTGAGATTTGGCCTGAAGCACCCAAATCATGTAACTGGTCAGCCATGTAGACATGGTCAGAAAAAGCATCACCAACGTTTTAAAAACATCGCCAGACATTATCATATGCCTCTTATAAATAGCATTTCCTTCCAATCCTTTTAGTCGTACCTCCCATTGGAGGATTTTTAAGAGAGAAGGAAATAAGGGGAACAGAAGAGGAAATTCAGTTAGACCTGGCAGTTTCGCCCACATAAGCAGTTGAGCGCCTTTGGTTCAGCCCGTGAAACTCCCTGGTCCTTAAAACAATGCAGCCTCACCGGGGCCTAGAAGGCTTCCTATGGTTCTGGGATCAGCGGTCCACCCTGCTCACGGTCCGGCCCTGCCCACCTCCAACCTTGTGCTGATTGGAGGCCTTTCCCTTCCGTGAGTTCCGTGAGGGCAGGAATCGTGTCTCTCATTCATCTTTGCAGCCCTCACGTCCTGCACAGCACCCAGCACACAGTTGAGTATGCAGTCAAATATTTGGGAAATGAAGGAGTAACGGATTAAATGGAAGACTGCCTCAAACCAATGGTCACACCTGGAAGTAAATGAAAACTATCCTTTTTAGTGAGGATTCATTATTTTCACTGATTCTAGGGGAAGAGAAGGTTGTCTCGTAGTTTTTAGAAGATGCAGTCAGAGAGTTTCAAGGACCCTGGTCATCTGGCTGTGGATTCATCTACTCTTCGACGTTTCCCACCCAAGTCATCTCGTGTTGTTTGTTTGACACGAATGAGTCGACTCATGGCAGGTAACAGCGCAGAGTCAAGCTGCTGTGGAGGCTGAGGTGATTCCTACCATTCTCAGGAACTGGCACTGGACCTGCCAGATGCATCCTTACTCCGGGGCCTGATGTCTGGGAGGGCTGATGCTGCGCAGAAGAAAAGACCCCTGCTCTCTGGTCACCGGGCAGAGCTGGTCAGTGCCAGCCACAGAAAACACGCACTGATTTGTGATGCTGTGCTCTGGGCACTCAGCTCTCATCTTCACTGAGATGTCTGTCCTGGCCGAACCAGACCTGAAACTACTAAGGATATGAAGCCATCTTCATTTTTGCCGTTAAACCCAAAGTGAGAAAGCTGTAACTGGTAGGTTAGACATGAATAGATTACTCATTTCTTCACTCCCTTTACTTGTGCTAGAAGATGGAAGATGAGGGTCAGTTGAAGCACTTTCTCCTCCGATGGGAGCTCGATTTCTAGGGGAAGGTATTAGCAGAGGTCAAACTATTTCCAATTTAACGCCATTAACTGGATATTTATAATCGTAGCCTTAACCAGAGAGGGTGGGGCTTAACAGGCTGTATTTGATAAATGTGAGTCAGCTAGTCTTAGGAGTCTTCGGGGTGATGGAGAAGTTAAAACTTTTTGAGACAGTTAACTATTTCACAACATCCTTTTAAGTGCACGGAGTTATTTTTCTGAATGATGTTCTCAGTTATGATATAAAGAAGACTTTTGCTATACATTTGGACAATATGTTTTAATCAGTTAGCCATAATCAAGTACTATGTTTTAAGATGTAGCTAAGCTTTTGTGAATAAATATGTGCTTTATATGGAATTCTTATAGCAGTCTGAATTATTAAGTAAATACATAAACATAAGAACCACATACAAACTGAAGATGGACATTTGCTTTTTTATCCCTTTATTTTGTGTCCATTCCTCTGTATCTCCATATAACTATCAACCTATGGATATACGATATACTATCCATATACACTATAACCTTCTGAAAGCCAGCATTACTCATCCGCCACATGGAAACTTCCTTTAAATAAGGAGGGCGATTAGAATTCTAATGGCTCATTAAAGAGCTCCTTCATTTATTCACTCCAGAAATATTTGTTGAGTGGTATCAAGGTGACAGGGCACAGATGTTGTGAGGTAGGAAGTGTGGCCATGAACAAAACATACACAGCCCTAGACCTTCTGGCATTTGTATTCTAGTAGAGACGGACATATAGCAACTACCAGATGAGCAAGTAAATAGAATTTCAAACAGTGGTCCCTACTATTACCAGCCTCTTAGAGAATGGCATTTGAACTGCGATACACGCGTGAAGGAGATTTTTTTAGAAAACTGAATGTGTGTCATTACACACTGAAAAACATCTTTGGAAACTGACCCCATTACTATATGCACTGACAACACGAGAAGCAGATTAGGATTAGAAAACATGCAAGTGTGCAAGTCAAACGTGTTTGGGGCGTACTAAAAAGCAAGGAATTGGAGGGCTGGTCCTCTTGCAAAGACCCTCCGTGCTGATGCATAAAACAAGAATAACACTACGTTTTCCAAAACTGCTGTCAGATGAAAACAGTGAGCGCATCTTGTGCCTGCCGTGTCCCTGGGTACCAAGCAGAGGTGATATGCACTCCTGTATCTTTCCCTCTTGAGAAAGTTACCCTTTGTAGATTTCTTCATGCTGCTTCCTTTCCCATCAGCCACCGGCCCTACCACTTACTGAGGAGTCCTCCAGTCGGTCTTTAGATTTTTCACAAAGTGAAACCTGGAACAGAGCAAGTGAAGCACTAACGCTACTCCAGCTAAAGGACTGGCAGGTGGTGCCGGTCGTAAATTCTTCTAATTATTGTATTTTTCCAGCAAGCTGATCTCATCTTGGGTTATCTGTATTACTTTATATGCATCAGAAGCTACATCTTATCCTAGCACACAGGGGCTGTGTATTGAAGAATGAGAGGTCAGATTGCAAGGGAGAAGACAGACTGGTGAGGCGCTGAAGGGAAGAAAGACCTGTGTGCCCGACGGCCCTGGTCACCTGACTGCAAACGGGTCTCCTGGGGCCTGACTGGACTTAGGAATCTCTGCTTCCAGCTCAAATGAGAATAATCAGATCTGTGGTAGCTCCTCGGAGGCAGGGGACAACGATTATTCCAAGTCAGGATACTGACAGTCTCTCAAGGACTGGTACTAGATTACCTGGGAAAGGTGAGGAGATGAGGGAACTGGTGAAGATGCCAGGGTAAGAAAAAAAGACAGCACTGAGACTATCTGTGTACCGCTTTCGAATCTAAGTCCTGTAGAGGCTGTGAAAAGTCATGGTAGCTGGGCAGAGAGCAGAAGGGAAGAAAAAACAAAGGAGAAAGGAACGGCTCACAAAGTGATTCTGTGTGAATATCATTCCTGTGAATTTCACTGTGGACCTCATTTCCACCACTTTGATGCTGTGACTTCTAGTCAAGCCACATAATAATGATATGATTTCAGCAAACTGAGATAAGGTCGATGGCGATCTATGAGCCCAGGGAAATCTGCCAGGAGTGCAGAACAGCCAGGCCATGGTTTGGAGATGGGCGTACTTCCTCGGAGCCAGATTTCGGTGATCACATTGGGGGTAGCATGGCCAGGTCCCAGTAGCTCATCCTCTGGATGGACCACCAGGGGTAGTTCTCCTGCGGCTCTGCCCGTGGGCAGGGGTCTTCTTCCAGGCCCTGCCCATACACACCAGCTTTAATAAAAGGTACCCCTTTCCTCTACAGTGGCTGTCTTGTCTGTAGTTTACAAATGGGAAGACTGAATTCCAGAGCCTACAGGCAAGTAAGGTCTGCACAGCTGGTGGCAAAGCTGGAATCTGTCTACAGTTTTGCCCGACTCCACAGCCTACCTTCGTGACTACATCGGCTAATCCTGAAACAATCCCCTCTGTAAGTACGGACTGCTATCATACAAGCAGAGTTATTTGCTCTGTTCCGTGTTTCCACACTTTCCTGACCATATTAAAAGACAGATGCGGCAGAAAATGACATCATATCAAAATGGGGATTTATAATATTTAAACGTTAACTTGCCTGCCAAGGAGGATTGTTGATAGCTGAACAAGCAAAGAATTAAAACCGTAATGGAAACATTAAGGACAAAAAATAATGGTATTCATCATTTCTAGTAAATATGGTATGTGACTATTGCTAACACATTTTTTTTTCCTGGACTGTTAGGGTTTCCCTAATATGTATATTCATCATGGAAGACCCATCAATTCCTTTAGACTTAAAACCCTTCTGTCCCCTTTTCTTTCTTCCTCCCAATGCACACTTTTCCCCCGTGAGACAAGACTCACGTCTGGTCTTTTTTCTCTTTTTTGGTCATGTCTCACGGTCTGTGGGACCTTAGTTCCCCGACCAGGAATCGAACCCACACCCCCCGCAGTGGAAATGTGGAGTCCTAACCACTGGACCGCCAGGAAAGTCCCACTTCTGTTTTTTTGATTTCTGTCCCTGTCCTTGCAAGTGTGCCCAAATCAGGTACAAAGTTGGTTTTCCTTCTAGGGAACGATAACTAGTAAGAAGATAAAAAGATTGCCATACTCACTGTCTCTAGGAAGGGGATTTCATTCCTGAATAACTACTATTTCTCTAAATGGGCTGCTAACTGATGTCTGCAAAATAATTCTTTTTGGCCCAATAATTGGCTCTGGAACTCATCGTAGTGAAATGTGACCTGCATCTGCATCCCGGGTCCTCCCCGGTGTCCTGTTGCAATCCTTCCTTGCAGGTAGTCAGTACCGCAAACGCAAGGTGCAGGCGAGCAGAGACATTTTATTAAAGAAACACATGGATTTGGGGAAAATACATACCTGATTGCGCTTGCAGATAAGTGGCCGTAGGAGCCACTTGCTGAAGAGCTGCTGCGGGAATTATTGAGAATGGTGACCAAGGAGTTGGGAGACGTCCTAATCATGGTCTGAAGGTCAAAGCTATGATCGGACAGTGGTGATATGGACAGTGTACGTTTTCGGCTTGGCCTGGCTGACAGCCGGGGGCTGGGGAATCTGGTGCCTGTTGTATAAACAAAACAGAACCTGATTACCTGCGGCTGGACTCTGTACCCATTATCTGTTCCGACTACCCCGCGTGGAGGAAGTGAAGGATAAGAAGCCGGCGACTGGCGTTGACAAGTACCTCTCTCCTCCACTTGTGATCTACTGGGTACAATTGAGGAAATTAGGGAGAAATATTTATCTTCCAGGGGCTTACCTCGGGGGAGCTCTGTTTATTAATGTGCAGACAAAATGATAAATTGCTAAACAAAAGGGAGAGACTTTTTATGTGTTCTCCCTCTCATTTCCAGTGATTTATGAATCTGACAGCTGCTCAGATATGCTCATCATTAATTCACCGCCAGCGACAAAGACAGTGGTTCCCACAGTCGCACCGCACTCCACCCTCCCCACCGCAATGCACACCGTTTTAAGGCAATGAGCCGAAGGAAAAAAAATGAATTAAAGTACCGTAAGATTAAAAATATCCAGCTTAGTTATGCCCGCATTTCCCCATGATTTCTGTAGTTATCTGATCCACGGAATACTTACGGCTTTACTGACAAAACTGATAAATACGTTATCCTAAATTAATGGTTCTCGATGTGGGGGGGGGGGCGATGTTGCCCCCAGGGGACATGTGACAACATCTGGAGATATTTTGGTTATCACAACTCACGGGGTGCTAGAAACATCTAGAGGCCAGGGAAGCTGCTGCACACCCGGGAATGGGCAGGGCAGCCCCCCCGCCATCTGGCACCCGTAGCGCCAAGATGGAGGAATGCTGCCCTAAATTCCCCATAATCTATACAGCCTAAGTCCCAAGAAACATTTAAAAGCTTGGGACGTGGTTTGTTTACAGATTTTCCAAGGTTGGGGGAGAAAAACCCTGCAAGCATTATAATAAGATAACATGAGTCAATTTTAAGCCTCTGGTTATTAGATCAATCAGTCAATCGATTAATTAATTCTCTGCATTTATAAGAGTTTTGAGACTTCAAGAAGATTCCACTGATGAAGTTCTATTCTGGAGGTTAGTAACTCACACTTAAACACCTGCCAACTTAATACAATGCTATTTACATGGAGAGTTAAAAATTAAATGTCCATTTGCCTTCTATTTGGTAGATGGTAGAGATCTGAATTAGGGCAGAGCTATGAATGTAGCCCACAGGCCCACTCCTGCCTTTTCTAAGGTCACATTTATATTACAGAGTCATCAAACTAGAGTTTAATGACAGAATGAGAACATAACACCACTAGGTAAGAGGAAAATCAAACATGATACTTTTAAGAAATAACGGAGGGTTTCTATTTCAAAGCATGGGTACACCTGCTTACAGGGACATGGCAATTTTGGGGTCCCCGGAAAACTGAAGTAGAAGGTAAGCCTTCTTTACAGAAAAAAGTCTAGGCACTTGGTCTCCAGAAAACTCATTGGGAATATTTTCTTCACCAGAGATGGACCTTGATACAAGATAACAATCCAACATATGCTTTGAGATAATTTAATGCAGTGTAATAGATGAATATGAAAGACTCTATAGGTAATATTATAGAGACGAATAGATATACTTTAGAGTGAATAAAAAATAAATCACAAACTGGAACTTAGTACCATCCATGTATTTGAAACTGGAAAACCAATCTGAATGTCAAATGTGGTACCTACTCAAAGCTTTCTTTCAGGCACATTGAAACTTGAATTTCTTCATTTAGAATAGTTTCATTACCAACCTGACTTAGGCCATGGTAGTACAAAAATAAAAATCCCACTATGTTCACAGTTCTTAGTATTTAAACCAGCATCTTACTTTTATTATGGCATCTGCCTTACACATAAATGTCTCATTTTTACTCACTATGACAGGCTAATTTCATCATAAAAGTTTTTCAGTGAAGAAATGCATTCCACTTCCAAAGGATTCCAAGGACAAACCAGATTTCTGGTCGGTTTCCATATCATCCTCGAGAGTAGCCATTCTCAGTGGGATTCAGTGATCCCTGGCAGAGTTAGAAGTAACAGGACATTCCAGATAGAGCTGATTTCCTGATTTTTAAAAAAACACTAAATAGATAAGGAGGCTGTCTGAGGGCTATAAAATACCAGAGGCCTATATCCCCATCACATCATCCAAGGACAGAGCCCAGGGCCTGGCTTCATCCCTTCCATGGAAGCCTCCAGGTTGCCCAGGGCCTGGATGGTCCGGCTCCTCTGCTTTTCCCTCCAAGATGGGTACTTATTTAAGTCAGTTTCCACCAGTATAAATAGTGTGGTTTTCATGAGTGTCTAGGATTTCTCTAGGATATTCCTTATAGGGATTACTTGCTCTCCTGTCTTTAAAGGTCACTAGAATCCCAAAAGGTATAATTAGAGCCGTAAAACAGACTTGTTCACTCTAATGTGCAACACATAAATACTCTATCCTGAAGCTGGCTGAAACCCAGGTAGGCCCATTGTTGGCACATTTAAAAGTCAGGTGCTCATCTGAATCCAGTTTATTGCCGTTTCTGCTAATGGAAGAGTCCTGAAGAGCTGTAACAGAGGATCAGAATGACCAGCTCGATCCCAGTTTCCCTCTGGTTTTGCTACTGCAGAGCCAATGTAGGAATTTAAAGTCATTTCACTCCTCCCTTGAAAAAGTCTCCTATGATTTAAATTTAAAACATAACATTCTGGTTACGTTCTATTAAACTAAATGCCATTTCAGCTATTTTAGAGGGCAGGGATATAGTACTTTACGCACTTTCCAACCCTTTATCATGCTCTTCCCAACCCCCTAACAACGAAGCATAGAAAGAGAAAGTTGTCAGCATTTGGGGCAGTGATTTGGGGTCATCTGTTGAAGGGAACAGCTAAACTACGAGGTGTGGATTTCAAAACTGCTGAAAGAGAAGTGGCCCAGTTCTTCACTGATCCTACGGCTTCCTTCTTAAATCTAAGCCCGAGCATTCTTACTGTTCCAACACAGATCTCTCCTATCTGGCTTTCTGTTAATTGTTTTGTTTCTCTATTCTAATAAAAGATTCTGACAAAGAAAAAGGAGGTTTCTTTTTATGTGATGAATGATAGGACATCTAAATTCCTAGTTAATGACAATCAATTTACCACATACTCTGGCAAATTAAAATGCCTTTAATTAGTTTTTACAAAGTAAAAGGGTAGCTTCATCCTTTATTTAGATAAAAACTGCCATTGCCTGACTAAACACATTCTCATCAAATAGAGAAGGCAATATGGGCTGACCTTTCAAGGATTCTCTCTTATTTTAATTCTCTATTCGCAGATTTTTAAATAACTAATTTGCATAATAACACTCAACTTTTTTTCCCCCAATAATCCCTAATTGAAACGTGGTTATGATGAATCTGAAATGGAAACTCTCTCTTCTACAAAGCGGAAAACAAAATCCCTGCAGAAGATGTAACACATTTCTCTTACTCTGTGTGTGGTAATGAGCTCCCCATTGGAAACCCACTCAAGCTGTGTTCGTATGTAACACAGCTAAGTTAGTTCATGACAGTAAGGGGACCAAGGCTATAGATTTTATGCTCTGTGGACCAATCATTTTCTCTCTATTGTAAATCTGAGAACTGAATTATCAACCACTAATAGAGAGTAGACCGAGGTCCACCCATTGTCACAGAAGAATCCAAACAGACCCTACATGGAAAATCACAAATTAATCACTGCTACTAGAAGAAGCAAACAAAACCTCGAGCATATGTCCTACTCAAACTCATATTGTCGTCGTTTTCAAAGGGTTTCGTTACGTACACCTTGGACGATGTTTCAGGTTCACTTCCTGGCACCTGGCAAATGGATGTGGACTTAAAGAATCCGAATAAATAAGAACTTTTGGATGTTCTGAAAAATGATAATCATAGGCTCTTGTTTATATGTCTAGAGAAGTGACACAAAGGACATGTCATAAGCCTTGAGGGACCCAAAATAATGTGATATAAAGTACAACCAATGATCCCATTTTCTTCCACTGCTAGGTAGAGGGCTAAAAGTAGCCCTTCCCGATGTGGAAATGTTTTTATTTTTCCTATGTATGTAAAAGGTCTCAGTGAGAGAGAATTTTTTAATGTAAAGAAAACATGTGGAAAATAAGAAAAAAATGAATCAATGAAAAATGTAAAACCAAGTATAGGTCTCTTTTTTAGTTAATTTATAAAGCATAAAATCTATAAAACCAAGGAATGACTGGATGAATGAAGCACATTCATCTAATCAAACATGTTCCCTTATTCTGCTACCAAGACAATCAGGGCTGACTAGGTTTTTGTGTTATCTGCCAAATTACAATCGCCTGTATCGTCCAGTTCACTGATATGAAGTGAGTTAAGCGCAAGTCTCAGGATGGCCACATCTGTGGAAGCTTCCTGGGAAACCAAGGCAACCAGAGTCCCAAATATTGGTGGTTCCTCCTCCTCCGGTTTGAAAAGTTAGGTAATCAACCCATCTTTGCATCTTCCTCTCCCTTTCAGGAGTTAGCTTGGCCACACCCAGGACTACAGAAGAGGGGCCCGCCACTTACTATCCATGGCATGAAGATACTCCATGTGGATGGCCCCTGCGCCGGCGGTGGCAGCGGAGGGGATGATGTCTGCATAGGGACTGCGTTGGCCGGCTAACAGAGCCATCTGATGATAGTATTCCGCTGGGCTGACTCCAGCGTGCGGGGCTGGATGGAAGAGGAGACAAGAAAACATGGTTACTAGTTGAAAGAAGGCCAAAAAGAAGCTTTTCCTGAGACATCCCAAAGTCCGTTCGCCATGCAGCCCACATCAGCCATTCCTTTTAAGGTTCTTTCTAGGAAAACTTCCTGAACTCAAATCGTGCTTTCACTGAAGTCTCCCAGATATCACTGATTCGAAAATAAAACTGAAGGAGAAGAATAGAAAAAATAAAATACATGATAAAACTTTCAAGGTGAGTTTGAAGAATCACCAGGAATTCCAAATGATTAAATTGTATTGGGCTGGCCAAAAAGTTCATTCGGGTTTAAGTAAAAAGAAAAGACATTCTTCATTTTCACCGAGAACTTTACTGAACAACGTATTCATTAACCAAACGAACTTTTTGGCCAACCCAAAATATGTGTGCATGTATCTGTACACTCATCCCCCTATTTTGCTCCCCCAAATAGAAGTGTCTTGGGAAGATCCCACATGCCGCGGAGCAACTAAGCCCGTGCGCCACAACTACTGAGCCTGCGCTCTAGAGCCCGTGAGCCACAACTACCGAGCCCGCGTACCACAACTACTGAAGCCCGCACGCCTAGAGCCCGTGCTCCGCAACAAGAGAAGCCACTGCAATGAGAAGCCCGCGCACTGCAACGAAGAGTAGCCCCTGCTCGCTGCAACTAGAGAAAGCCCGCATGCAGCAATGAAGACCCAATGCAGCCAAAAATACATTAAATAAATAAATAATCTTAAAGAAAAAAGTGTCATATCAAATCACTGTATGTGCACAGTTATTTTTCCACATTGCTTACAGTCGTAAACAACTTAGATAACCATGACGTCCTTCACGACATACTTAACATACATCCCTAAGCCTTCTGGCAGGAGGGTCTGAGTCAGCTCTCAAGAACTGGAGGACCCTGGGTCACGAGTGGAAAAGGCAGCACGGCTGGCTTTAATAACACATGACGGTGGCAAGCTGCAATTTTGTGTTCCATAAGTTTAAAGCTCTTTCTTTTCTCTTTTTTTCATTACGAAATCAAAAAGAAATACACCTATCAATCTGGAGCAATTTACTGGCAAGCGTCAGCTCTATAGCAGTGGGATAATGATCAGTTTCTGCATGCCAATTTATGTGCCAAAGCTGCAGGACGCTGTAGCAGTTCTGAGGGTGGTCTCCAAATACACTAAGATGTGGATGCAAATCCCAGCTCCACCTCTTACAGCTTCACAGGAAGTTGCTGGGAGCAGTGAAGGCAATGGTGCATGGAAAGTGCTTAGCACATAGCATTCGATCAATAAAAGCTAATTTTATCATTATGATGTAGAAACACTAGCATTCTAGTGATAGGTCTGTGTAGGCTTTACATTTGTGTCCATATACTTTTTAGTTTTTTTTACTTAAGTATAGCTGATTTACAATGTTGTGTTAGTTTCAGGTGTACAGCAAAGTGATTCAGTTATACACACACACATATATATTCTTTTTCATATTCTTTTCCATTATAAGTATTACAAGATATTGAATATAGTTCCTTGTGCTATACAGTAGGTCCTTGTTTATTTTATGTATAGTAGTGTGAATCTGTTAATCCCAAACTCCTAATTTATCCCTCCCACCCCCTTTCCCAAACCATATGTTTGTTTTCTATGTCTGTGAGTCTATTTCTGTCTTGTAAGTAAGTTCATTTGTGTCATTTTTTTTTAGAGTCTACAAATAAGCGACATCATATGATACTTGTCTTTCTCTGACTTACTTCACTTAGTATGATCATTTCTAGGTCCATCAATGTTGCTGCAAATGGCATTATTTCATTCTTTTTTATATGTGTCCACATACTTCTCATACATCGAAAAGACAGAGAGATACATACAAAAATCATAGACCACAAGAGACAAATATTAGTGACCTGACTTGGGTATTAATTGGACTCCTGAGAGGCAGAACAACCAACCAAAGAAGGTTTTAGTCATATTCATCATCAAATACTATGGAAAGCAGATGACAAGATGTTTTAACTAGAGGTACCAACTTCAGTGGCCCCACTAAACGTACAGAAGCCAGGCAACATTCCAAGCCCATCGTCAGCTGACCTCTCCACCCCTCTCTCCCTCTGTTCTTATTAGTCACTTCCATGAACCTCCAAGTATTCCCTGGAGGTGACTTTCCATTTTTCCCACTAGAAAACCAAATCCAAAGCAGAACGAACTCCAATCTCACTCTTTTACAGTTTTCTTTTTAAAGTGTGAATCTTGTCGAAATGGCAAAACATCTTCATGAGGTACCTTACAAGTATATTCACTGCATTGAATCAGAGGGGAAAAAGTGAGCCAGAAGCTATTGCTGGAGCACAGCTTCTTGTATGAATGAGTGGATATTTACTGAAAAGCCTCAGGAAGCTTCCATCTACTATCCCCACCATGCACAGCCTGCCTCGGGAAGCGTCTGAGTGGAGAATGTGGACCGTGCTGCTCAGTGAGACAGACTGCGTAGTGTGTCTCTGTGCCCCAACACAAACATCAGTGATTTGTGGTTTGCTGCAGAGATCTCATAATCCTCTACCTGTCATTAATACAGCTTATGCCATCCTGGACCTTAACTCAGACGCTAGCAACTGTGGGCAAATGAGTTTGTATATGTGTGCATGAGATGGGAAATGCTCTTCCTGAACCAAAGGAGCATTTTATCATTGGGCACTTGTGTAATGCACAGGTGCAATTTAAAAGAATCAGGTGACAAGTAATTGGGAGGCCAACAGAACAACAGGAATTTGGTGCTTTAGAGCTTAAGATGAACATCAAGTAGAAGAGAATTAAAAGTCAAAGTTTGTTTCTTGTCCAACCGCATCCCTCTTGCAGTGCTCATTTGGTCAAGGACAGAGGGCACATACAACAGAGCCGGCCCATCATGTTCTCTACGACCTTGCAGCTCAGAGCGTGGTCCCTAGACCAGCAGCACTGACATCACCTGGGAGCTTCTCAGAAGCGCAGAACCTCAGGCCGTGCCTGGACCCACCGCAAACAGAACAGTATTTTATCACCATCCCCAGGTGATACCTATGTGCACTGGAGTTTGCAAAGTGCCGCTCCAATGGACACATCTGTATACACGTGTCCTTCAGACATGCAGCACAGAAAAGTGTTCATCAGAAGGTGAGCAAAATGTGCTGGTTACACATGCACAATGTGGGAATGGCAACAAGGCCAGTCTAAATATATGTGAAGCCACAGAATAGAGCAGTGAATGAGCGCAAGGATTTGGGCATCAGTGCATTCTGGCTCTGAGTGCCACCTCTGCCACTTACCAGCCAGTGAACCAGGTTTCAAGTTACTTGGACCCTCTGCCCTTATCCTCACCTGAAAATGGACATAATATCCCACCCTCATGGAGGTGTCATGAGGCTGAAATGAAAGCACGTAATCACATCACTTAGCACAGCGCCTGGCACACGGGACTCAAGAAGCATCAGTTACTCTATGCCACGTTCCAGGAGAGGCATGATGTATGGAAGCAGAATAGGCTGGTCTGAGACTCACCATCTGTGGGGCTCAGCCCGCGGGCGGCCGAAATCATGGAGAGAGACGGGCTGCTGTGCAGGGACCGGATGTAGTCCATGTAGGGGTTGATGTAGGGATGCGGAGGGCTGAAGGGGGACTCAGAAGCTGCAGCGGGATTCCGATGCGGGGAGATCCTGATGAAAGGCAGGTCGGAATACGTGGGGCTACTAGATAGGGCAGAAGGCCTAGGTAAAAAGAAAAGCAGACACAAGAGGTACGCATGAGACCAAGAGCTCCGTAGGCAGAGGCTGTCTGTGAAAGAAAATAAGTAAGATTTTACGTGAACTCCAGGCGTCTTGGGGGAAAGAAGATCAGGCGTATACATTGCCAGTACTAGGACCCTAAGATCATGGTGACATCATGTAGGTAGAATGCTACTATGCAATTACTTGGGCAAAGAAAATGGACCTCTGAGAAGTTTCCTGGCACTCAGAATATAGGAGAATAAAGCCCTTTGGTTTCCCTCAAGAGAAGAAATTCTAAACAGGCATCTGAGCTAAAAGCAGTTGCTGCGATTCTATTTTCCATTGGACCTGAATGTTAATTTTACCATTGAACTTCTCTCTCACCATCATGGTACTGCATTAAAGAAAAAAAGAAAAGAAAAGAAAGAAAGAAAGAAAAAGAAAGAAAGGAAGGAAAGAGGGAGGAAGGAAGGAAGCTAGGAAGGGAGGGATGGAGAGAGAAAGAAAGGAAGGAAGATTCTTCTGGTCTGGGAGTCTGTGCATGCACATGGCAGAGATGCCTACAAATGAGAAAAGAGACTAATAGCAAAAGTCTGTAAGAAACATGAAATTGACACTCTATACATAGGTGCTCCAGCTTGAGTGTTCTGGGTCTTGAGGTTGTGAGCAAACCCAGTTTCACAGATATGGGTTTCCCTGTTTTGAAGGCAGCCCCCCTTCTCCGTGAGCAGCAGCCCGGGGAGGCAGCTTCCTCTCACAGGCGTTCTGCATGTGGCTTCCTGATCAGCCGCGTTCACTGAACAATCCGTAATGAAGCGCTCCTGGGGTTAGAAAGTTGGAAAAGGTCAGGGTTTTGATCAAGCTCATGCCTTAGTTATAATGAGCAAAGGTAGAATGTAAGCTTTTGGCTGATGAAAATAAACTCTAAGGCACACCTTGCTGCCACCATACCTCATCCACTCCAGGGAATTCCCTCCCCAGGGCCACCCCCAAGCCCCAGGGACAGGCATTTCTAGAACGGCCAGTCTGTGGAACCCCCCCTCGCTGCCCTGTTCCTCCTCTAATAGAAAACGTTTTGTGTGGATAATCCAGTGAACTGGCTCTGACAGGCTGAACACTTGTACTTTCCCTTTTTTCATTCACAGAGAATATGGCCATAAAAAGGCAAGACCGTGATAGAGAGGGATGTTCTGAGAACTGCAAACTCCTCTTGTGGCGCTGGCTTCAGGAGTGAAAGGAAAGGGAGGAGAAACACATTTTCTCATCCCGCCTCCCAAGCAAAGGCACATGCAGCGGCAGCTGAGCTCTGGCCCCCAGCCCCGTCAGAACAGAGTCCTGGGAGAAGCCAGCCCCTTGAAGGGCACTGAGTTAAATGAACCCAAAGCTCAGATCATGAATCTTCTCAGTAGAAAATCAAAGAGGTTAAAACACACGGGAGGGAGAGGATTTTCTTACTTGTTCCTTCTTACTCTTTTTTTCATTTTGAACTTAAAAAAAAACAACAAAAAAAGAGGCTTTTTATTTGTTCTTCAGATGTCACTTTGGGTGGAATAAAATAAAAATCCAGAGTTTTCTAAATTTACATGTTGGCAGAGTGAGAAGTCACCACCTGAAAATAGCTATTTCTTTTCCAAACAACTTGAGGCTTCCACACCCACTCAAAAATTAGTAAAAATTCCTTGTTCTTAAATAGAAATTGGCAAGACCTATGAGTCTATCCTATTTTAGCTCTTTACTACAAAATAAGTTAGCTCTGTGTCACTGGTTAAATCTGATGCTCCATTTAGACCTGTCACTACCTTAGAGCACACCAGACGCTCGAATTCATTCATTCATTTTCTACCACAAAGGAAAATCAATCCTTCCAATCTGATTCGAAAGTGATTATTATCAAGTAACAGGCTCATTTGTAGATTTATGATGAGAGACAGGTGCTGAAGAAATATAAAAAAACAGACATTTCAAGACATCCATGAGATGATACCTCCTAGACAAGCTTTTCTTAGGATCCACGAGAAACTCAGTCTGAACACTATGAACTAAAAATCAGTGAAGCAATGACATTGCTAATTGGTTTCTTCGTTAGGCAAAAAATTGGAACCTGTAATTTGTCTCAAATTCTAGAATTGAGCATGGTAGTAAGAATATTCCCAGAAGCCTTGATTCCACTGAAGAATCATGGATGGAAAAAAATCAGCACTTAGAACAGCATGAAGATTATAGATATCGGGCTGGGGTGCTCACCAGTCCCAAAGAAGCAGGGAAGCCAGGAGACAGCTGATGCTTTTCTCTCCTCACAGATCTGTGGATGCCTGATGTCTGCCTCCCCCCTTTCACCTTCTTTCTTTCCTTTTTTTTTTTTAAACCGGTACGCGGGCCTCTCCCTGCTGTGGCCTCTCCCATTGCGGAGCACAGGCTCCGGACGCGCAGGCTCAGCAGCCATGGCTCACGGGCCCAGCCGCTCCGTGGCATGTGGGATCTTCCCGGACCGGGGCACGAACCCGTGTCCCCTGCATCGGCAGGTGGACTCTCAACCACTGCGCCACCAGGGAAGCCCC